TGGCACGTGGGGTTGCCCAGCAGCCGTTAGCCAGGAGCGGCTCCCGGACTCGAACCAGCAAACCCGGCACCGGACGGGGCAGCAGGACACGGCACCACTGCCCCAGAGACGCCCAGGGAGCTCCCTGCTGTCGGCAGAGGGGCCAGGCCGGGGTCCCCGGGCCTGGGCCAGGGCATCCCGGGTCTCTGCACACAGGGGCCCAGCGAGGCTGAATTGCCGGCTCCCTGCGGGGCGGCCAGGGGGCTGGAGTGGGGGCCAGGGCTCTCCAACAGGCCTGTCCCAGCTGTGTGGGGCAGGGGGAGTTTGCCCCGCGCCCACCCTGCCGGGGGCTGCACAGATTGCAGCGGAGAGGTGGATTCAGGAAGGCAGGGCCCAGCAGGCAGCCGCCTGGAGGGGCCGGGGGGGCTCTGGACCTTTGTGTGCTGAGTTATCTGAGGCGGGGCTGCTCTTTGGGGTAGAGACAGGTTGGGGGGGGTCTCTCCAGAGCCAGCTGCACAGGGGTCTCCTCAGGCTGCGCCTTTAAACGAACAACCCCCCTACCCCCCCCCGGCCCATGCACCATACGGGACAGTTACGGCTCTGTCACTCGGACTCAGAGCCGGCTCCGGCGCTGGGAGACGTGGGCAAAGCAGGACGTGAAACCGCCCTGCCTCACGGCCCTGTCCCCATCCCTGAATGGGAGACGGGGCCAAGAAAGCACACGGAGTAACTCCTGGGGCAGCTGGACTCGGCCACAGCCGGCGGGCGCCCGCTCTTTGATCACGGGACGTGAGGAATTATTCCTGATCTATATTTCCCTCGGCATCGTCCCCCCGACCGGCTGTGTGTGCCGCAGGCCTAGATCCAGGGCCAGATCCTTCTCTCAGGCACACCCAGAGAATCGAGAGCACTGCCCCACGTGTCTCCAGCCCTCGCCCGGGTACCTGAGGGCAGAGTCTGCCCCGCTGCGTATGACGTGGGCCTGCAGGATCGCCGTAGTGGGGCAGCCTGGTGCAGGGGGGCAGTTGTGATTGGACATATCCCTGGGGGTTTCCTCACGTGACATCATCTTTAAGTCAAGACAAATCTTTCATCCCTGGAGACTCCTGGCCAGTCCTGGTGGGTTGGCACCCCTGGCAGAGCCGGCTCAGATGCAGCCCACATGGGTACCCCTGGCAAGGGGCGAATGCAGCGGACAGGGGTTTGTCGTGGATCTGGCACTGTTTGGGGGTTTGCTCGAAGCTCCTGCTCTCGGCGGCAGGGTTACAAGGGAACCCAGCTTCTGTTTTCCTAGCTCTCAGCATGGCAGAGAAAAGCCCTGGCTGTGTGACCCCAGCACGACCTCCAGCCTCCGAAACCGGAAGGCAGAAAAAACTGGCAGGGAGTTTTGGTGCCCGGCTGGTGATTTTTGAACACTCGGGCTTGTCAGCACTGTGGGTTTCCCCCCATTCGTGCAGGTAGACCACGCCGACCCCTGTGCACGCCGACAGGAGGGACTGAAGCAGAGGCCCCTCTGCAATCTGTTGGCTAGACAAATCTCCACTCCCTGCCCTAAGCTGTTGTGTAGCAGTGCTGGGTGCTGTTAAACAGCTGCCACGCCCTGTTTCAGAGGTGGCTGCATTTTGGTGGTAGGTGAAGTGATTCGTGTGTGTGTAAAGGCTAGAAAGCCTTCTGGGATCTGCCGGGGTGTGAGGCGTTGTCTGACGGGCAGACGTGGTTGTGGCTAAACAGCTTCTGAAAGCGTCCTGGTGCCGGCAGGGGCTTGGTAAACGGCGTGAAATTAGTCAGTTGTTTCCGTAGCTTCTGGTACCCCAGGTTCTGGCTGACTGGAAGGCCGGGGCTGCAGTTCACACCAAGGGACCCAAGCCCCTCCCAGGAGCAAAGCAATACGGGGCGTCTCCTCCCAGTGCCCACTGGCGTGATCCATGTTCTACTCAAGCCGTGCCGCGGAAGGGGGGGGCTGCTCTGCATCTAGGCACAAACCAACCCCTTTGTGCCGGTCGCTGGTGATTTCGAGGGGGGGCACTGGCAGAGCTGCAATCTCAGGGGAGGGGTCTGTGCAGTGCCAGGCGTGATGGGGGCCCCAGTTTTGGGGGAGGGTCTGTGCAGTGCCTGGCACGACGGGGGCCCTGGTCTCAGGGGGGGTCGGTGGGAGCCTCTGGCAGGACTGAATAGAAAAGGTAATAGCCTACCAATACGTCATGCTCCTTGATCATGTGCCCGTGGCCAGAGAACAGCACGCAGGGGATAAAACAGGCCCGATGGGGGGGCTCTGGCAGAGCTGGGGGGTGGCCAGGCCTAGACTAGCCGGGGGGATGGGGGTACCTGTGAACCGTACTTAGCTCCCCACGACCCAGTCCCGTGATGACGAGGAAAGGATTGGCATTTTCAAAAGCAGTTAATGAGAGACGCAGGATGCCACCAGCTCTGGTGCCACGGGGCCCTTTCCCCGGGCTGTGGGCAGCCCCCTCTTCCAGCCCTGCCCCAGGGCCTTTGGCTGGCTGGGCAGCGTCTGGGCCATGGGGACTTTGGAGCTCACTGCTCCAGGTTTCCAAACCCTAAGGGAGCTCCCCGGGGTTGGTCATGTCTGCAGGCTTCCTGGCAGATCTGTTGGCCGGTCACTGTGCCCGGGCTGGCTGCCCCACTGGCCCCGAGGCTCTCTCGGGTCCCTCGCCAGGTGGGAGCCTTGGACATTTATCCTCTGGGGGTGGAATCCTGCATCTCTCCCACCCCTCGCCCGGCCCCGGGCTACAGCCCCCGCGTACCCGCCCCACATACCTGGCAGGTCTGACCGGGCTCTGGTGGTTCCTCCCGTTGGGAGCTGTGACCAAACCCCCGTCTTCACACCGATGCTGCGTGGGGCCGAACGCAGGAGACAAGGGGCTGTAGCAGCTGCCAGCTGCACCCACGTCTGCCTGGCCCAAGGCATCCGTGCCATGACCAGGTGACCACATGCCCTGCACCAGCTACCACAGAGCCACTCCGGTGCCCTCCCAGCCCCGTCATCGGTGCTCCCGTGACGGTTTCCTGGGGTACCACCTGGAACTGGGGTACCACTGAGCCCTCTGACCCACCAGCCTGGGCTCCCTCTCACCCTGGGCTGCTGTGAGGATGTCCGAACCTCTCCATCCTTCACACAGGTAGGGACACACCCAGCTGCAGTTACACACAGGCCCTCTAACTACCAGCTTCCCAGCCTAGGACCCAGAGCAGTACCATCCTGCCCTGGTCGGATCTGGCCAGTATATGGGTTTAGCACCCAGTCCGCCTCTCCCTCAGTGTGAAGAGAACAACGCACACTTGTGGTAACCACACTGGGATTTTCCCCAAGCACTCCAGTCAAAGCTCACTGGTTTGGATTAAAACTTAAAAAAAGTTTATTAACTACAGAAGGATAGGTTTTAGGTGATTATAAGTGATAGCAAACAAATCAAAGCAGGTTACCTAGCAAATAAACAAAACCGCAAACTGAGCGTAACACACTCGATCGGTAGGAGATGAATTAGCAAATTCTCACCCTGAGCGATAAACAGGCTGGCAGATTCCTAACGCACAAGCTGCCTTGGCTCTGCAGCTTGGCTTTCTCAGGTTTTCATACTCAGGCTACACATCCCTTGAGCCTGGGACCATCAATTCTCCCCATTCAGTCCTTGCCCCTCGGGTGTTTTCAGGCGCGTTGTTGTAGGGAGAGTGAGGTACCCTCGTGATGTCATTGTCCCCTTTTTATATCTTCTCCCCACTTGCTGGAAGCTCTTTTGCTGGGACCTGGGTCAAGCAGTTCCCGTTGTGTAGCGCTGTCTCTGAGAGGTTTCTGTTGTACACAGTTCCTGGGGTAATTCTGGTGCTTGTGTGTCTTTCCTGAGTGAGCCATTAACGTTGTTTGGCCTTTTTATGGTTGTACCTGAAAGGCTGCTTGTGGGTGTTTTCAGCCTCACAACACATTCCAGTAACACATACAGAGCCAAACTCCATAACTTCACACACGTCGGTAGCGCATACCGTCCAACGAGATACGACTGTCTAGCAGACCAAGACTTTTACAGTGACGCCTCACAAGGCAGACTTTGTACAAAACATGTCCTAATTACATGCCAGTGGTGAATATTGGGGTGCCAGGGTGTCACAGCTCTGGTGGCTGGTGCTCTGCTGGGAAAGCCAGGGCTGCCAGGCCATGGGGCAGGATGTACCGTGTCTAGCCAGGCAGGGGGAGCTCAGCCATGTGTTCTGGCTTCTTCGACATGCCTCAGCAATGGTCACTGGGCTCTCCTGGGCTCTCTCCCACCCTGGTTCTGGATGCAGGCTTGTGGCAGGGGGCTGTGGTGGTCTCTGGGGGCCCGTTCACTCAGGGCAGCTGTGGTGGGTGTGGGGGGAGAAGCCTCTATCACTACCAGAGCCTCCGCCCCGCTGCATCATACTCACCAGCCACGCATTGGTTAAGTCAGGCCTCGGCCGCGCTAGGTGCTGCATGGGGCAGACCCAGCCCATGCACCTCCCGCCTTGTGGCCAGGGTCTGTGTAGCCCCGACGGGCACGGGTAGGGGGGGAGGTGAGGCGGACGACAGAGCCCAGGCTGTGCTCGGGAGAGGAAGGGTGGGCCCAGCGGACGGGGAGACCCACTCGCTAGGACTGTGGGTGTCTGGGAGTAGTGTCGTGCCAGCTGTAACGTATCCATCGCCGGCAGCGAGGTGCCTGGACACCCTGGGGAGGGGGCCGGCCAGGGTGTTTCTCTGCAGCCGGCGTTGGGCCAAGGCAGAGCAGGGAGCTGTGGGGCAGCCAGGGGGACAGGGTTTGACGAGGTGGGGCCTATGAGGGGCAGTGCAGGGAGCTGGGGGGCAGCGAGGGGGAGGGGGTCTGGGCAGGCAGGGCCTGCGAGGGGGAGCCCAGGGGTCCCGGGGGGAGCTGGGCGGGGGAGGCTGGTGGAGCCCGCGGCAGGGACACCGGGCCCTGGGAGTGAGGGGTGGGCACGGCTGGGGGGGGCCCGGTGGGCATCTGGCACTCAGCACCCTGCGCTCTCCCTTGCAGCGGGGTGGGCCTGGCCCGCGCCCATTTTGAGAAGCAGCCGCCCTCCAACCTGCGGAAATCCAACTTCTTCCACTTCGTGCTGGCCATGTACGACCGGCAGGGGCAGCCCGTGGAGATCGAGCGCACCTCCTTCATCGACTTCGTGGAGAAGGACAGGGTGAGAGCCCGCCCTGCCCCCTCCTTGTGGCCAGCGTCGCCCCCGCCCCCTCCCCATGGCCAGCCCTGCCCCCACCCTGGCCCCGCTCCTGTCCCATGGTCAGCCCCGCCTCCGCCCTGTGCCTCACCCCCACCCCATGGCCTACCCCACCCCCGTTAGGGTTGCCAGGTGTCTGGTTTTCGACCTGAATGCCTGGTCGAAACGGGACCCCAGCGGCTCCGGTCAGCACTGCTGACCAGGCTGCAAAAAGTCCAGCTGGCGGCACAGCGAGGCCAAGGCAGCTCCCTGCCTGCCCTGCCTCTGCGTGGCTCCTGGAAGCAGTGGCATGTCCCCCTCCGACTCCTAGGCCTAGGGGCAGCCAGTGGGCTCCATGAACTGCCCCTGCCCCAAGCGCCGGCTCTGCAGCGCCCATTGGCCAGGAACCGTGGCCAATGGGAGCTGTGGGGGCGGCGCCTGCGAACAGGGCAGCGTGCAGAGCCGCCTGGCCGTGCTTCTGCATAGGTGCCGGAGGGGGGACATGCCGCTGCTTTCGGGAGCGGCTTGAGGTAAGCGCTGCCCAAAGCCCTTACCCTCCCCCCATCCCCTCACACCCCAGCCCCCTGACCCAGCCCTGATCCACCTCCCACCCTCCAAATCCCTTGGTCCCAGCCTGGAGCCCCCTCCTGCACCACAAATTGCTCATCCCTGGCCCCACACCAGAGCCTGCACCCCCAGCCCAGAGCCTGTACCCCCCCACACCCCAACTCCTTGCCTCAGCCCGGAGCCCCCTCCTGCACTCCAAACCCCTCATCTCCAGCCCCACCCCAGAGCCCCAGCCGGAGCCTTCACCCCCCCACACACCCCAACCCCCTGAGCCAGCCCAGTGAAAATGAGCGAATGCATGAGGGTGGGGAGAGTGAGCAAGTGGGGGGGAGGGATAGAATGAGTGGGGAGTCCAGCCCCAGCCTCCCGCTCAGACCCATCCCCCAAGGGGGCCAAGACCCCCCCAAACTCACGTCATGGGCGGGGGACCCTGTGCAGCCAGCAGATCCTCAGCCCATCCCACCCCGTCCGCCTGCGAGGTGGAGGCCACGCCAGCTCGGGCGGGGGCGGGGGCTGGGGGGGGCAGATAGCCGTGTCCCAGGTACCCCGGAGGAGGGGGAGGGCCAAGGGCTCGGCTCCCTGCGAACGGCCAACGTCCGACCTGCTGTCTCCCTCCCCAGGAGCAGAATGGTGAGAAAACCAACAACGGCATCCATTACCGCCTGCAACTGCTGTACAGCAATGGTAGGGGCCGGGGGGCTGCGGGGCGGGGGGCCTGGGAGACAGGGGCTGCATTGCAGGGGGGCGGGGGACAGTGATTATGGGGCCAGGGGACTATGGGGGATGGGGGCTACAGAGCAGGGGGGGCTGCAGGGCCGGGGGCTACGGGAAAGGGGGGCTGTGGGGCCGAGGGGCTGCGGGGCCGGGGGCTATGGGGCAGGGGGGCTGTGGGCCCGGGGGCCTGGGAGACAGGGGCTGCGTTGTGGGGGGCAGGGGTTATGGGGCCAGGGGACTATGGGGGATGGGGGAATGGGGGTTACAGAGCAGGGGGGCTGCGGGGCCAGGGGCAGGGGGCCAGTGGCAGGGGTTATGGGGCCAGGGGACTATGGGGGATGGGAGGATGGGGGCTACAGAGCAGGGGGGCTGTGGGGCCAGGGGCTGGGGGTAAGGGGGCTTGGGAGCAGGGGCTAGGGGGCTAGGGGGCTGGAGGGCAGGAGGCTGTGGGATCAGGAGGTTTTGGGGCCGGGGCCTCAGCATCATGTATGGCACCCAGGACTGACTCCCTGCCGCAGCCCAGCACCTGCGGTCCCGTCCCCCTCTCCTGTCTGTCCTGCCTCCAGAGGGGCCGGATGGGTCTCCTGCCTCCCCATCGATGTGCCGAGCTGCACGTTCTCAGCTGCTGAACTCCCCGGACAGTGGCCTAGAACTACAGGGGAAATAGCATCGCCTGGGGGGGTCCTGGAGTATGCGGGGGCTGCGGGTCGGGAGTGAGGGGCACCGGCAGAGCTGCGGGTTGGGGGGAGCCCAGGGCTGGGGTAACGGGGGCCTGCGGGTCGGGAGTGAGGGGATCAGTGGCCAGGTGAGAATGTCTCCTCTCCCCCGCGCAGGGCTGCGGACGGAGCAGGATCTCTACGTGCGGCTCATCGACTCCATGTCCAAGCAGGTAACGCTGCCAGCTGGGGACAGTGCAGGGGGAGGCTTGGTGGGGGCTGGGGGTTCAGACCGGGTCACCCCCCACCCCTCCCAGTAACTCCTGTGCCTCTGAGGTGCCACCCAGCCCCCGCCGGGCCTGCATCTCGGGCCCTCTTCTGCCCCCAGGGCTTCCCCCGCAGCACCCGTGTCCTTCCCCGCGGCCCGCTGGCCGGGCAGCTCCCGGTTTGCTCCGTTCCCGCGGGGGCTCTGAGACGCTTGGTGCCGGGTCAGAGCCGCCCCCCGGGCGGTGCCCATTGCGATCAGAGACCCCACGGGCTGCGTGCTGGCAGAGCCCCTCACCCGGCGCTCTCTCCCGCCAGGCCATCATCTACGAGGGGCAGGACAAAAACCCCGAGATGTGCCGCGTGCTGCTGACCCACGAGATCATGTGCAGGTAGGTGCCGGGCTCTGCCGCGGGGCCGGCGGGGCAGCGAGAGCGCGCGGGGCCACGGCCCCGCACAGCCCCTGTCCAGCCACTCGCACGGCTGCAGGAGCCGGCCTGTGGGGGTGGGGGGCACTGCCAGCCCATGCTGCCGGGGCCCAGCGCACTGGCCTCAGCCGCCCTCCTCTCTCCGGCTCAGCGTTCCCACCGCGGTGCCCCCGGGGGCCCCCCAGGCGGGGCGGGAACGCAGGGCACCTGCCGAGGGCGGTGGAGGCAGAGCCGGGGCTGGGTTGTTGGGCGTTGTCACGGAGTCCTCGGGCGATGCCCTGGAACGGCTCCCTACCGAGCCAGGCCGGACTCTGGGGCAGTCTCCTCTCGGGGAGCAGCCTGTCTGCAGGACACACAGCTCCCCCGGCTCCACCTTCCTGCGTCTGACCCCGGAGCATTCGGCCTCCTCTGCCCCTCCCTGCGCTTCCCACAGCCAGTCCGCCCAGGCGGGGTCCTGGGGCAGCCAGAGGGTCCTGCCCCCCAACTCCGCAGTCAGACGTGACTCTCAGCCAGCCAGTAAAACAGAGGTTTATTAGACGACAGGAACATGGTCTAACACAGAGCTTGTAGGTGCAGAGAACAGGACCCCTCAGCTGGGTCCATCTTGGGGGGCCGTGAGCCAGACAACCACGTCTGCCCTTCACTCCATGTCCCAGCCAGCCCCCAACTGACTCACCCTCCAGCCCCTCCTCCTCTGGGCTTTGTTCCTTTCCCGGGCCAGGTGGTCACCTGATTCCTTTGTTCTCCAACCCTTTAGCTCTCACCTTGCAGGGGGGAAGGGCCCAGGCCACAAGTTGCCAGGAAACAGGGTGTTGGCCATTCTCTGTGTCCAGACCCCTGCACACACCTGCCCTCTAGGGCTCTGCAATGATCATACACCCTTACCCCACCACCTAGAGACTTAAGAACTGCCTAGGGGAAACTGAGGCACCCCTACACTATTCAGAGGAAACATTAAGAACAGTCCCGCTTCGTCACAGGCGCGTTGGTGGGAGGCAGGGGGCAACTGGGGGGCGTCCGTGCCTGGCAGGCCGACAGAGCCGAGCTGCCCTGCCCGGAGCACCGCCCTGGAGCACTGGAGGCCCGTGTCTCCCGGCCGGCTGCACGCGGGCGGGGTGGGGGGGCAGCGAGCCCGCGGGGCCGGGAGCGTCTCTCCCCCAGCTGCGTCTCCGCGTGGTCCCTGGTGCCCCATTAGAGCTGCCTTGTTTATGGCGCTCGTGCTCGGTGTTTGTGGGAATTAGCGGCTGTGTCAGCACCGGCTTTCCCAGCTAATTGATCTCCGGGAACCTCACTAATGATCTCGGGGCTCAGGGAATAGGGGCAGCCTCCCGCTGGGTTGTTTATCCCTCGTCTCCATCCCAGCCCTGTTTTCGGTGCCTGGAGACCCAGGGGCCAGGCCGCAGCTCCCGGCCTCAGCCAGCCCTGACCATGGCTCCAGCTGCGACTGGGGGCCGGGCTGGGGGTGGGGGGCAAAACCTCTCCCTGCAGGGCCAGCGGTTCAAACCCACCTGGCTGGCAGCGAGCGGGCACCAACGCCCCCCCCACTTACCCAGCGCTCGGGGTGTGTAGCTAGAGGGGCGCAGCGGGACCCGGGGGTCTGAGCACCCCCAGCAGACGAGCTTCTCGATTGGTGCTTTGCCCCCAGGCTGGGAAGGGGCGTGGGTCACCCAGGCTCACAGCAGGGCCCCAGAGCACCCCCAGAGCTGTGCGGGGACCAAGACACCTGCTGCCATCCTAGGAACAGTGCTCCTGGCCCCCAGGGCACCCCCCAGCTGTCTGGGGCCTCCCACAGGGGTCTTGGCGTCTGGGTGCTGCCCCATACAGGCTCCCCACAGTCCTGGCTATGCTCCCTCCGGGTGCAGAAAGGGTGGTGGTGGGGGGGGGGCATTCGTGAGGGGTGTCAGGGGGAAGGGGATTGGAGAAGCGGGGGGCAGAATGGCGGGGAAGGGCAGGGGGAAGAATGGGGGGAGGGGGAGAGGTACGGAGATGGGACAGGCAAGGGGATGGGGGGGCTCCTAGCCTGGGCCACCCTGTCCCCCTGCCCCCATCAGCCGTCCCTGGGGGTGGGAGGGGCGCCAGGCCCTGGGGGTGCAGGTTCTCCTCCCCCACTCACCCCGACTTCTCTCCCCCTCGCCCCGGCCCAGCCGCTGCTGTGACAAGAAGAGCTGCGGGAACCGCAACGAGACGCCCTCCGACCCCGTCATCATCGACAGGTGAGCGGGCCCCGCGTGCCGTGCCCTGCACCAGGCCATGGGACTCCTGGGGTCCTGTCCCCGTGCACCATCCCCAGCGCGCCGACAGGCCATGGGACCCCCCCAGACTGTCCCAGGGTCCTGGCCCCACACGCCATCCCCAGCACCCCACCAGGCCATGGCACTCCCTCCCCCACGACCGTCCTGGCCCTGTGGGCTGGATCCCGTCAGGCGGGGCTCAGTGCTGGGGCCTGACCCCGCCAGCGGCTGAGCACCCTCAGCACGGCCAGTGGGGGGAGCTGGGCACAGGCTTGGGCCCCGAAAGACTGACGGGCACCTGGCTTGGCTGAGCTGGGGGGTGGTGCCTGGAGCCCCGTCCTCTCCCTCCCCCGCTGCCTCGGGATGCCCTCAGCTGCGTCTCCCCGGTCCCCGGGCTGTGTGGCTGTCTCCTCCCTGGACTGGGCCCCGCGCTGTCTGGCTCCGTTCAACCCCTCGTCTGCTCCTGCCCGCTGGCGTCGTGGCTGGCCGGGTGCAGAAAGGGTGACTGCAGGATGGGGAAATTGGGAGTTCCTGGGTCCAGCCTGGCTACTGCCCTGCTCCATGCCGCGGTCCCCCCAGCTGTAAATTGGGTGTGCTGATGTAGTCCTACGCTCCTGGGGCTGTGCAGTGAAATGCGGAAAAGCTGGCCAGTGGCCCTTGGGCAGGAGAACGTCTGTTCTCACCCAGCACGTTTGGCCTGTGGAACTCACTGCCACAAGAGAGCCCTGAGGCCAAGAGCTTTGCAGGATCCCAGGGGAGCAGGCCTTGGCATCGACAAGGAGAACGCCCAGTTACATTGAGGGGGCAAGGGATGGGGATGTAACTCCTGCTGCTACTGGACACCAGCCACCCTCCCGCCTCCGGGCCTGGGATGAAACCCCCCTGGGGCAGGTTATTCCATAATTGGCCATTGTGGGATTTCTTGGGGTGTCCGATGCAGGCTGCTATCAGACAGGACACTGGACTGGACTAGCCAGACTCTGTGTGTGACTGCATGCTGTTGGAACTGTTCTGCTCTGTGTCATAGGCCCTATACTGCCAATAGCAGCGATTCTCTGTTATCTGCAGCAGCAGGAGAAGCGGGGTTCCGTCCCTGCTGTTGCTGTTCAGTGCCTCCAGCATGGGCATCGTGCCAGCTCTGGGCTGCGTCCTAGGGGCCCATGGCTTTGCTATGTGCTGGGGACGGGGCGCCAGCATGTGTGACATTTGGCGAGGACATTCCCTGACTGCCAGCGCAGACAGCAGGGGAGAGCTGGCCTGGGAGCACGAGCCAGATCTGTGCTCCCCCTTCCCGGTGCCCCCACTCCCCCGTGCACCGCGTCTCGTCCCCAGCGTGTTCCCCTGGAGCAGAACCGTCCCCTGCCAGCTCCGGTTTCCTGCGTGGACGGCTGCAGTGCCCAGAGCCATGCTGCATAGCGGCCATTTCCCTCTGAACAAACCGGCCCGTCCAGGCGACATGCCATGGGGCTGGTGCCTCCCGGCAGCACCCAGATACCTGTGCGCCCCTACTGTGAATGGGGCGGGGGGGCAGGGAGAGGTGGTGACTCGGGGGAAGAGACCTGGGTCACAGAGCTCCTTCCTGCATTCAGACCCCAGACGGCTCAGGAGCTCGCCAACCTGGGTCAGCAGGAAGGGTTGAGGGGCAGTGGGGGGGCACTTGCCATCTGTCCCACTCGGCTCCCTGCCTCCCGGGAATAAGCAGGGCTGTAAATTCCCCCATTAAAACAGTCTCACCCCAAAGGCCTCCAAGCCTCAGGCTCCCCGGGGACCCTGGAAGCCCGAGAGGAGGCGGAGAGCGGGCCGGGGGAACCTCGGGGCTCTGGGGAGTGAACGCCTGCTTCATTGGTGGGCCGAGCTCTGCATTGCCAGCGTCAGCCCCGGTTTCGAGGCTTGGCCTGGGTTCTTTATGCAGGGCTGGGTCTGCACCCGCCCCGGCTTGGGGCCCGAAGCTGGTCCATAAATCGGGCAGACAAGGAAGCCCCTGTCCCCACCACAAACTATTAGCATCAGCTGCCTCCATAGTGGCTAATGGGCTGAATTCATGGTGTCGTCCCAGCCACGGCTGCTCGCAAATTAGGTGGTGCTTTGTAAATCGCCCTGGCCTCTCGCTGCCCCACACGCAAGGCGACGGCTCTGTGTCAGAGCCTGCATGGGGCTGGCTGGCCGGTCGAGGGGCCCGTGGGCTAGGGATTGTGGCAGGAGCCTGTTGAGGGGTGCTCGGGACCCTAGGAATCAGAGGCGGCAAGGGTGTTTGGGCCAGGTGAGCTTGCTCAGTTCATGCATTAGATCAGCTCCCGGTTCTGGGTGTTTGGGTCAGGGGAGGTCCCTCAGGCCCTGCATTGGATCGGATCCAGGTGGAGCCAGGGCCCTGAGGCCCTGCATTGGATCGGATGCGGGGTGGAGCCAGGGCCCTGAGGCCCTGCATTGGATCGGATGCGGGGTGGAGCCAGGGCCCTGAGGCCCTGCATTGGATCGGATCCAGGTGGAGCCAGGGCCCTGAGGCCCTGCATTGGATCGGACCCAGGTGGAGCCAGGGCCCTCAGGCCCTGCATTGGATCGGATCCAGGTGGAGCCAGGGCCCTCAGGCCCTGCATTGGATCGGATGTGGGGTGGAGCCAGGGCCCTGAGGCCCTGCATTGGATCGGATCCAGGTGGAGCCAGGGCCCTCAGGCCCTGCATTGGATCGGATGTGGGGTGGAGCCAGGGCCCTCAGGCCCTGCATTGGATCGGACCCAGGTGGAGCCAGGGCCCTGAGGCCCTGCATTGGATCGGATCCAGGTGGAGCCAGGGCCCTGAGGCCCTGCATTGGATCGGACCCAGGTGGAGCCAGGGCCCTGAGGCCCTGCATTGGATCGGATGCGGGGTGGAGCCAGGGCCCTCAGGCCCTGCATTGGATCGGATGCGGGGTGGAGCCAGGGCCCTCAGACCCTGCGCGGATTAGTCCCCGGAGCCGAGGTTCGGGGCGCTGACCCTGCCTGTGTCTCCCCCAAGGGGGGCTTCCCCGGGGAGGTTTGCCTGATGAGACGTCAGTCTTGTCTCCTGCTTGGAGCCCCTTCCGCAGGGACACAAGCCGCATACTCGAAACCAGGTTCCCTCCTGGCTCCCTCCCTCCTGCTCGCGGCAGCCAGGCAGCCAGACGCGGCAGATGGTGGAAGTGACATTTGCCGTCAGCGCCGCACTTTCACTGCAAATAAAACAAATAAATAACACAAACAACAAGGAGCTGCTTGAATTAGCCAAATGGGGACTGTGTGTCACGGCCGTCCTGCTGCCCCGGGACGCGACAGCCTCACCCCCGAGCGTGGGACACGCGCCAGGCGGGGCTAAGACACGCCCGGACACAGACACGGCATCCACGCGACACACACAGAGACACCAACCAGACACCCCCAGCCCCCCCCCGTCCAGACATAGCCAGGCCGCCCCGTAGGGACCCAGACGCCGCCGGCTCGGAACCCGCCGCGCCCCCGCCCCGTACGGACCCAGACGGCGCCGGCTCGGGAACCTGCCGCGCCCCCGCCCCGTACGGACCCAGACGCCGCCGGCTCGGGAACCCGCGGCCCCCCCACCCCGTACGGACCCAGACGGCGCCGGCTCGGGAACCCGCCGCGCCCCCGCCCCGTACGGACCCAGACGCCGCCGGCTCGGAACCCGCCCCGCCCCCGGCCCGTAGGGACCCAGACGCCGCCGGCTCGGAACCCGCCCCGCCCCCGCCCCGTAGGGCCCAGACGCCGCCGGCTCGGAACCCGCCCCGCCCCCGCCCCGTACGGACCCAGACGCCGCCGGCTCGGAACCCGCCGCGCCCCCGCCCCGTACGGACCCAGACGGCGCCGGCTCGGGAACCCGCCCCGCCCCCGGCCCGTAGGGACCCAGACGCCGCCGGCTCGGAACCCGCCCCGCCCCCGCCCCGTAGGGCCCAGACGCCGCCGGCTCGGAACCCGCCCCGCCCCCGCCCCGTACGGACCCAGACGCCGCCGGCTCGGAACCCGCCGCGTCCCCGACCCGTAGGGACCCAGACGCCGCCGGCTCGGAACCCGCCCCGCCCCCGCCCCGTAGGGACCCAGACGCCGCCGGCTCGGAACCCGCCCCGCCCCCGGCCCGTACGGACCCAGACGCCGCCGGCTCGGAACCCGCCCCGCCCCCGCCCCGTAGGGACCCAGACGCCGCCGGCTCGGAACCCGCCCCGCCCCCGCCCCGTACGGACCCAGACGCCGCCGGCTCGGAACCCGCCGCGCCCCCGCCCCGTACGGACCCAGACGCCGCCGGCTCGGAACCCGCCCCGCCCCCGGCCCGTAGGGACCCAGACGCCGCCGGCTCGGAACCCGCCGCGTCCCGCCCCCGTACGGACCCAGACGCCGCCGGCTTGGAACCCGCCCCGCCCCCGCCCGTAGGGACCCAGACGCCGCCGGCTCGGAACCCGCCCCCCCCCCCGCCCCGTAGGGACCCAGACGCCGCCGGCTCGGAACCCGCCCCGCCCCCGCCCCGTACGGACCCAGACGCCGCCGGCTCGGAACCCGCCGCGCCCACGCAGCTGCAGCGATGCCTGGCACAAGCCATTTGCACACGCAGCCTGTGCAGATCATACATGCACACCTGTTCCTGTACCGCCCGGCCATGCAGACTCCCCGCTCAGCTGCACCAACACACATTCGTTCATGCCACGAAGACGAGATGCCCACACACAACCCTGCCATGCCCCTGCAATGTGCCCAGAGCACCCCTTACAGAGGTGCAGACGTGCCGTGCGCCAGGACCCACTCATGGAAGATGCCGGGAACACGCAGGCATGCTGAGACGCACAGGCCAGGCCGTGGTTTTCTGTCAAGGGGCCAGTTGTAGTGGCAGGTTTTGCAAAGCAGAGACTTGTCCACTAGGAACTTGGCTGAGGCCCCCCAGACTCATTGCACGTGAGCTGCCTCACCACTTGTGAGAAGGCAATGACTTTCAGCCCCAGCCGCCGTGGGATGGGTTGGGCTAACGGC